GCTTTTGTGTTGCCTTTCTCCCCATGGTCTTGTAACTCCCACCCCAGTGATTGGGTGGGACTGTGCAAATAGGGAAATTGTGGCCCGCCAAGGGGCGCCAGAAACCAACAGCTGCGCGTGCCCTTTGGGCCCAGGACCCCTGCGCTGAGCAGCTCCTGGAACCAGGAGACAGAAAGAGAGGGAAGAGAGAGAGAGAGTTGGAACGCTGAAGACAGGGAGAAGCGGTGGCAGAGAAACGGCAGCAGGAGAGACTGGCGGGAGACAAGCGTGGGGCCTCCCCAGCCCATGGAGCGAGAAAGCTGAGTGCCTTTGGGTGGGAGGCTTGCTGGAGGAGTAGGGTGCTTCTGGGAACTTGGTGGAGCTAGGTTTGCCTACCCTCAGAGCTAGAAGTAGCACCTTTGGGCACCTTTGAGTGGGGTGCCTCTGGGCACTTATAGACAGAGCTAAAAGAACTTTGTTAACACTTGCCCAAGCAGGGCAGAGACTGAGGGCCAGGGAGAGGCCTGCCTGTAAGCACAGCTGCGAAGAGGCTGTCCTGATGGACAAACTGTATCCTAAGCGTTCATCAACCTGAGTTGTAACCTGTTACTTCGCTAATGAGCCCCATAATCATGAGTATTGTCTGTGAGTTCTGTGTGGCCATCGCAATGAATTATCAAACCCCGCAGAGAAGTAGAGAGTGCCGTGGGAAGGACGGTTGGTGGCAGAATTGGTAAAGATGGCAGAGAGAGGAGGCATGGCGGACCTCCGCCTCATAGGAATCAGCCTTGGGCTGTCGATCTTGATTCTCCTTCCCCCTTGTGATGTTTGAGGAGGCCAGACACCACCCACATGCCATTTTTACAGCGACCTCGTGTGTCAGAGTAGAACTGTGCTCCACTGGGTTTTCAATGGCCGATTTTTCAGAAATAGATTGGCAGACCTTTCTTCTGAGGCACCTCTGGGTGGGTCTGAACTGCCAGTCTTTCGGCTGACCGTTTACATCACCCAGGGTAAAAGAAGGTAAATGAGAGAGAAGGGAGGGAGAGGTGGAGAGCGTGAGATACTAGAGCTGGACCTGCAGGACCCCAAAGGCTTAGTTGGGCTGCTGGAGAAGCGGAGGTGGGGGGAGCAGGAGGGGAAGGTGGCTCCAGGGAGAGGGGAACAGAGGCAAGGTGTGGAGGTGGGATGGGGCCAGCGCAGGGAGAAGGGAGAGAGGACTGCGTCAGCCGGCCGAGCGTCACCTGGAGTGCCCATGAGAGAACTGGAACAGCCGCTTGGAGGCAACCAACAGCCCCGCCCCTCCCAAGAGCTTTCAAACAAGAGTCCGCCCGGCTTGTGGACGGTGAGACCGGCCAGGTGGCGCTGGGAGAGGAGGGTGCTCAGGGGTGCCTCAGAGTCAGCAACCCCCAGGGCGGGCTGGGAGAGGAGAGCAGGGTCAGGGCCCATCCCAGGGGGACTGACATTCATGGGGAGCAGGACAGGCCAGTGAAGTCACAGAGGTCAAGGATACTGTCAGTCGGGGAGCTCCGAGAGGCCTCACTGGGTGTGGCCTTGGGTCACTGTAGAGGAGTGTAGAGTGACGGCAGCACTCACTCATCATCCTAAGAGAGCGAGGGGCCTATTTGCATCAGTGCTGGGTCTACAGGCACTGCTGGATGCGGGGTGCACGTGGTCCCCAGCTCGTCAGGGACCCTGGCAGGGGCTGCCTGTTAGTGCTAGTGGTGGTGATGAGTTAGATGGCAGTGCTGCGGGGCGATGGGGCTGAGGAAGAGGGCGGAGTGGAGCAGGTTCCGCCGTGAGGTCTGACTGTGAGGAGAAATGGGGGCCGGGGGCCGAAGGTTTGCATCAGCATGGAAGAGAGGTGAGCCTGAGTGAAGGGGAGGGGTCACAGCCAAATCTGAGGGGCCCAGCTGGGCTGCAGGGTCGGCCGGAAGGGGGTCCGTGAGGGGTGGAGTGGCCTGCTTGGGGGTGGGGGTTTCTTCTTCCAAGAAAAGAGGGATGGTGGCCGCGTGGCCAGGGCAGCTGTGGAGGCAGGCTGACACAAGAGGGAGAACATGGTGCAGGCCAGCACCACAGACGGCTTCCTGGAGGGTGCCCGCGGCTGGGACCCGCCCTCGAAGCTAAGGCAGGCAGCCCGGGGCCTGCCATCCTATAGATGGGAGTAAGGAGCCCTGGTGGCACAGTGACTAAGCGCTGGGCTGCTAACTGAAAGATCAGTAGTTCAAACCCACCAGCAGCTCTGAGAGAGAAAACACCTGGCAATCTACTCCCGTAAAGAGTACAGCCTGGGGAACCCTATGGGGCAGTTCTGCTCTGTCGCGTGGGGTCAGAATTGAGTCGATGGCACCCAACAACAACGACCTAGATGAGAGTATGGCAGTCTTCCTGGAATATAAGTGTATGTCACACACACACATGAATTGACATGCAGATCAATACCACGAAAACCCTTCTGGAAAGAGTGCCTTTGTCTGGTCTGGTCAAGGCCCAACTCTCCGCAGCTAGAAACTAAGGTCAATCCTTCTCACAAACCGGAGGAAAATGCCCAGGTTTTGTACAAATCGGGGCTTTTTATAAATTGCTATTGATGTACAGAAACAAGCTCGGGGGCAGGGGAAGAGAAACAAAGAATTTGTTGGCTTTGCCCAAAGTGACTAGCTAAGTCAAGTGGATTCCTGCTCTTGAGAATTTAAACTGGGAAAGGGGGAGAGAAGGAGCCAGCCCGCGACCAGAACAGGAGAAGCCACCCGAGAGAGGGCAGGGAGCTGTGCTGCAGGGCCAGGACCGGGCAGGGCAGCGGGTATTGTAAGGGCATCGCTGAGCCTCACAGAGCCCCTCGATCTCACCAGATATGCCCCCCACGGATTCAGCAGAAAAGCCTCCCCACCTGGCCAGTTCCCCTAACACCCAGACTAGCTGTACCCCACCTGGTCCTCAACCTAATGGGTTCACCTCCTTGCCAGCCCAAAAGCTGGTCAAACAACCAATCACATCCATCATGGGAATCAGAGGTCACGCTACTCTCTTGTTACTATGAAGCCTGTCCCCACAGGCTTTCATTTAACTCTAAATCAACTTCCTCTTCAACCAGTGGCTCACGACTCAGCTTCTCCAGCATCTGTTGGCACACATACCTGTGGGGATGCTCCCTACCTCTAGATCCAGCCTTTCCGTTGCCACAGAGACTGTTCACCGAGAGACGCTTCCTGGTGGCTCTGCCCCCTGCAGTGCACAGGGTCAGTAACCCCCTTCCTCCCAGCAGTCTCCGAGACTGGAGTGGGGTCTCTCATATTTCCGGAGCCTTCCTCTCACAGACTGAGCATACCCCCTCACCTATTCCTCGCAGACGTGGTCTCTTCTTGCCTCCCCTCCTGATGCCCTTGTGGGAAACTGCTTGCACTGAGAGGTGTGGCTGCCAGGCAGGGCTGGGCCAGCCCAGGGGTGTCGGTCACGGGGTTGGGCTGCCGCCCAGCTTGTGGTCAAGGGCAGGGGTTGGGGGCTGGAACCTGGCTCCCCTCTACCCTGCTGCACCGCCTTAAGTCAGGCTGGCTCCTGAGTGTCTCTGCCTCAGTTTCCTCACCTATAAATGGGCAACAGCATGGCCTCCCCCAGGGCCTGCCGGGAGGGTAGATGAGCTGGTGGTGCGTAAGGTACCAGGTCCTCAGCTGCTCAGGAAGTCAAGCCTCGGCTGATGGCCTGCAGGCAGAAACTGTGCGTGCGCTCACTAAGGAAGCGATCATTTGTGATCAAAACGAAGCCAGACGAAATCGGCCAGTGACAAAGGAGATGGGGCCTGGCACGGCTGTTCCTTGAAAGAAAACCCAGAAGCATTTATTCTGCATCTTGGATCAGGAGTTTATTGAGCAAGGCGGGGCTGTGGCTGGGGGCCCCAGGCTCCAGGCAGGGTCCACTCAGTCCTCCTGGTAGGGGACATGGAAGCCCAGGGTGGTCCCCAGGGGGAAGTGTGCGAAGAAGGTGCGGGCCAGGTCCTCAATCTGGGGGTAGGCTCCCAGGGACTGGAAATACTGCACGTAGTTCCAGAAGTCGGAGGTGGAGAAGGGCCAGTATGGCATGGCTGGCAGCTCGGCGTAGGGGTCTGAAGAACACACGACAGCCTGCGTTGGGCCACCCCCTCGTCCTGCTCGCAGCCACGGCCAGGACAGACAAACAGGTGGCACAGGGCAGAACCCTCACCTATGCAACCTTCCCACATGCATGGAGCGGGCGCTCAGAAGCCTGGGCCACCCCGAGGGACAGCGGGGGGTGGCCTAGATCCTGGCCCTTGGAGACTCCTGGTCTGCGGACAGAGAAAGAGGAGGGTGG